ACCGTATACATTTGAATGTGCCACTGCAACGCAAAGACTTAAAAAGTACAAAATGTAAACTTACATAAAGTATGTAACTATTTTTTATTATAATAAAATGTACTGTATTCTTTAAGACAACAAGTACAATACGTGACTAATCAATTACGACCAAACAAAAAATATTGTTGTACATATGTAACAAATTTTTTTAAACATTAAGGTTAAAAACTTTGTTTAGAATTTGAATGAAAATTTTAAAAATCTTTGCGAATTTCGTATAACGTTTGAAATTTCGATCAATATGGAATTGGTTAGGACTAATATTTTACAAGAAATTAACAAAAAAGTTTTGAGTTGCTCAATTTTGTTACATACATACAATATTTTGTGATTGGTCGTAATTAATTGGTCACGTATTGTACATATACATATGTTCGCATAGTTATACAAATGTATTTTAAGTGCGTATGTACACTGTCAATCAAAAGTGAGTGCATGGTGTTTTTTGTTTAATATTTGCAATGTTTTTGAAGTTAAAATTTTTTTTGTTATTTTTTATAAAAACATGGTTCATGCTTTAATCAAAACCACGTTAGTCAAACTTTCAAACTTAATACAGAACTTAGAAAAATTCAACAAATTTTCATCTAAATGTTTAACTTTTTAATCTGAATTTTTAAATAATTTTGGGTACGAGATAGATCGGCTATGTAATTCTAGTGCGGTTTTATGCTTATAACAAGAGCAATTTATAAAATATAGCGTTAATTTTGTTGCGCATTTTACCTTTATGGTAAAAAGTGCAAAAACCCGTCAGCAATAAAAAATCATCAAAAATCAACGCGATCTTTCAGCCGCTTAAAACTTGCACTTATTTCACTAAAATTACATAGCCGATCTATCTGCGTGCCCAAAATTATATTAAAAATTCAGATTAAAAAGTTAAACATTTAGACGAAAGTTTGTTGAATTTTTCTAAGTTCTGTATTAAGTTTGAAAGTTTGACTAACGTGGTTTTGATTAAAGCATGAACCATGTTTTTATAAAAAATAAAAAAATTAACTAATAAATCATAAAATTGTTTGCATACTTATGCATATACTCACATTTCCTAAATTTGATGTTGTGCTGGCCTCAATTTTCAATGTCGGCTCAAGAAATTTGAGGGAATTGTAAAGCGGGCTCATTGCAGTCCCTCTTCCTGCTCCTTGCCCACTTTTGGTATGTCCTTTTCTATTGAAGGCCGCCTAATATTAATGTTGCTTTAGCAATCATTTTTATGAATATCGCAAAGGTACTTACGCGGAAAGAGCAGCGAAGGCTGTTCCACTTGGCTGAAACTTCCGATCGCGGCATCTTCAAAATATCCGCCACATCTTGCCATTGAGCCTCTCGCAAATTCCTGTCCCTGTATTCAGTGGAAAGAAAATTCCACGTGCCTTCTCTAGCTTCTACTTCTTGCACCAGCCTCTCCATTTGCTCATTTGTCCACTTTTCCTTTTCGCACCCGCTTCTTCGTTCCACTGGTGCTACCGCTTGGGCTAACGAACAATCATATTTTGACACTGAAAAGCACATTGTAAAACATTAATATGTTAACTTTTAGAAAAATATTGAAAATTTTACCTTTGCTGCAAATTGATGCAGAAGAAAAACAGCTGTGCACGCGTCAAACGAAAACAAATTGCCAACATGCTGGCAAATTAATTTTAGGTGTCAAATGTTGCCACATTGGCGGTCAAATTAAATTAAGGCCGTTTTCACTTGGCTGTCATTTTATATGACCGTGCGTGGTCATATATGACAACGAACGCATTTGATGCCATATGACAACCCGTTTTATTTCAACTGACAACATTTGACGTCAAATATGACATAGTGAAAACCAAGCATAAGAAGAGGTTTACGTGAACTTCTGTGTTTCTAATATGCAATAAGTTTGTATATCTGTGTTCGTATGGTAAAGTAGCTTATGTCGAAATACTGGCTTTAGTATAATGCGGCATTCCATTTATTCTTTAAACGACAAGGAATTTTTTGATGAGACTTAATAAGAATATTGACTTGCTAGTATCGGAACTATTTCTTGCACGTTTATTGCCAAACATTGTTCAACGGCTCAGCGTCAGTGAATCATTCGTAATCGTAAGCTACTTTTCCATACGAACACAGATATATATATTTTATAAAGGAAATGGTACCTATCGACGATTTTTAATTTATTGGCACATTGACCTGCATAGGCACAGTTTTTTCGGAAAAATTAGGCACAATTTTAAATTTTGATTTTCCATCACTGGTATGTCAGCGATTGGCTCACGCACACAACTACATTTTGCGACAAGTAATTTTTAGCAAAAAAAACGACTTCAACTCTCATATAAAAAAAAAAAATATATATATATCTCATGATCCACTGATCGGACCTTAACCAGATTAGTATGGGACCACTTCTGAGACACTACCTTTCCGATGCAAAAAGAATTATCGAAAGTGGTTGACGGGGTCCAAAGTTATGCGGTAACATACATAAAAAAAAAAAAAAAAGATTCCGACGAACTGATAACCTCCTTTTTTGGAAGTCGGTTAAAAACAGCGACAGCAAGGCATATTAAATAAGGTAGAGGTGATTTTGACATTTTTCTCTTTTGAACACCGACACAGAACACAAACGGCAATAACGCAAAATTTGCTTTATTTCACTTTTAAATAGGAAATAATACCAAAATCTGAGTTTTGCTTTATTTCCAACAAAGGTTTGCCTTATTTCCCATTGCGTATTTATACTATTCATGGTTCCGTGCGCAGAAGTGGAAAACTCTTGACTGCCATTCACCTGGGAGTGGCCAGAAGCGATTCTTGTGCGTACGGTTCAAATCGCAGCTCACAACGTCCGGATATTTATATCCACGTATCCTCTGGGTAGCAACCAAACACCCGTTTGGGAGCGAGCTAAAGTGAGAAGGCGTAAAACTTCGCGTGCGCTGGGTTTGGGTCCCGCCACGTTAAAACCCCGCCCAATGAAAAGCTTCACGCTTACTTTACCTTGCCCCGTCCATCGCATTTCTTGGATGGCGGTGATGTCAGCCTTTGTCTTCCCGAGGACATCAACCAGCCGGGCAGAGGCACCTTCCCCATTAAGGGTCCGGATATTCCAGGTGCATACCCTTAAATCATAGTCCTTTATACGTTTGCCGTGGTCGTCATCAGAAAAAGGGGGTCTCATCCGAGGCTGTTTGCTTC